TCCCGGCCCCCGCCCCCTCGCGGTCTCCGCCTCCTTCCCTCACACACCCCCTGGGCCGCCCGGGCCGCAGGCCTTCTCTGTGCTCCTCCTCTCTTTCCCCACACTCACTGGATCCTGGGTTTTCCTGCTGCCCGCCGGCCTGGCCTCTGGGGCGAGTCCTCCTCCTCGGGTTCTCCTTTCACACACGCGCGCCTTCGCTCGCTGGGCCGACCCCTCCTCACCAGCCCTCCTCATCCTAGTCCTTGCTTACGCCGTCGTCAGGGGAGGATTGATGTCCCTTCAGCATCATGCAGCCGCCGCCGAGGAAGGTAGGGCGCAGCCAGGGGGTTTTGGGGTTTTGGGGTGTGGGATGCGTACGAGGAACGCGACTCGGGCCACCTCTGCGCCCCCTCCCCCTTCCCGCAGGGGGCCGTGACTCTTCTCGCCTCTGGCTTGTCACTGAGTTGCTGTTGGCGCTAGGCGGGGGACGCATTTATGAGGTGCCTTTCCCACCGAGGGGTGTCCGGAGCTGGTCTCCTCCACCGTCCTGGAGACCCCCCAGGCATTTTACAGTAGTTTCGGATGTGCGTTTGCGCGTGTGCGCCAGCATAGCAGTGCTGTCCGCTGCAAAGTGTATTCTCGGGGTGTAACGAGGGGATACGACGTGGGGGGGTGGTGGCTGCAGAGCCTTGTGCGTGTATGATTGTTTAGTCTGCACCAGGTTGGAGTCCTCCAACTGCTTGTCGCCACCCCCGCCCGTTTGCAAATTTGCAGGGAATTTTTTAGCCTAACCCGAAAGGTTGGCCTGCTTTTCCCACGGGACTGCGGAAAAGAAGTTGGACTAGTCACTGCCCTTTTACCCTAGGGGAAAGCAAATTAAAAATTGAAAGGGTCTTGCCTTTCGGCCCTCACTCCTGCCCCGCCCCCGAGTAGGGGGGCAAGGAGGAGGTGGTGCTGTCCCCAGGAAAGCAAGAACCCGGGCTTACGTGGTGTATGTCCCGCAATCTGGGCTTGGATGGCCAGGGTGGGAGTGATGGGCACTCCTGGCTTGTCAGCAGCTTCCCCGCTCCTCCCTTTGCTCGCTTTCCCAGGGGCCAAGGTTGTGTCCTTGTCCTTATAATCCAGCAGATGGATACCGAGTGTCTACTCTGGACACTGGATGGAGGCCCTTGTATCCTCCCTTTCGAATGCCTAACTCGCCCATGTCTGCTTCCTTTTCTTTCTCTTTCACAATCCGGGTTTCTCCAGTTAAATGAGTCCTTATTTTTTTTTTCCTAATATACCCCCACACCTCTGGTTAGCCCCATTCCAGCGGCCAGGATTCCATCATCCTAACCCGGAGTCCTGGGGTCCGACCTGGTGGAGCCAAGCTCTGGCCAGCTGGCATTTTCAGTTCTCACTGTTTGAAGTGGAGCCGCCACGGGGCCTGGCTTGCTGTGTTAGTTTAAAAGCCTTGCATATGCTGGAAGGTCAGTTTTGCTTTCTCCTTTGTGAGGAGGAGATTGTGATTTGATGTGCTGTCAGTGAGTGGGTTGTATCGTCCCCAGACAGTAGCTTTCTTGAAGCCATTATGAAATAATTTATGTAGTTGATTCCTGCGTATCGTTTCATGATTGTGTAAATTTTGGTTACTAGGTATTAGGTACTGTTACGCTTCCATCTCCCACCTGCACTCTGTTCACCTGTCCTGGTGGTTAAGGTCTTGAGTATTTTTTGAAAGAAACAGAAGACAGGCTCTTTTAAAACTGTAAGACCTAGCTAGATGTGTGCTGAGTTTGTGCATGAAATAGAATGATTGGCAGTTTATTTTGCAACCTTTTAATCTGTAATTTTTATACTCATATATTTTCATTCAGCCTGTTTTTTTCATCAAGGAATAAAACTAGATGAGAGTGCGTTTATGGTCTTCAGGGAGAGATGAGCAAGAGGTATATATTCTGACAAATATTAAGTGTTTTCCTTAAGAAATTTTTTGATTCATGTTGTAATAAGGCCTTCATAAATATATGGTATATTTTAGGTGAAAGTTACACAAGAACTGAAAAACATTCAAGTTGAGCAGATGACAAAACTTCAAGCCAAACATCAAGCAGAATGTGATTTGCTTGAAGATATGAGGTAAGGTTATAGTAAATAGTTTAAGAGCTTCCATATCTCTGTTTCAAAGAACCTTTCAGTTGAAAGCCCCAGGATCTGATGATGGAATTTCCTTTTGGATTTCCTGCTTTAAGGCTGTTAGAACTTTGACTCAGCTGGAAATTATAACTGGAACTAACACAATACAAACTTTTTTCCTTCAATGGAGAAACTTATAATGTGCACATACTATTATGTAAAACAAAAGTCTGTCAGTCAGTTTATAATCACTGAAGTAAAAATTCTTGTGTCTTTCCACTGAATTGCACAATTATTTTTTTATTTATTTTGGTGCCGGGGATTGAACTCGGGTCCTTGCGCTTGCAAGGCAGGCCACCTAACCACTGAGCTAAATCCCCAGCCCTACAATTATTTATTGACCTTAACAATTTTACACAGATTTTTAAATTGACACCTGTGATTAGTGGCCAATTTTTTTGGCTGAACTAGTTAACTCCAGATGATTATATGCTAATTATGTACTGTTTGTTAAATATGACAGTTACCACTTTGAATATTTAATTTGGTGAATAACTATGATCATATTTTGTTATTAAAATTACATATTTAAAAAATTACATATATTTGTAGTTGAGCTAACTTTGAATATAATAAATAAAATACTGATATTGTAAAAATGAGTGTCTTAAGCTGGGTTTGGTGGCACATGCCTGTAATCCTAGCATTCTGCAAGGCTGAGGCAGGAAGATTGTGTTTGAGTCCAGCCTGGGTAATTTAGTGACTTAGCAAGATTCTGTCTCAAAGTGAATAAGGACTGGAGATGTAGCTCAGCATGAAGGCCCTGGGTTCAAATCCCCAGTACTGCAAAAAAAAATTTTTTTTTTCTTTATAGTAGGAAGTATGATTTATTTTATGGACGGAAATGCCATTTATTTTAACAATCCCATAGTAGAAACTGACACTTCAACAAATATTTCTGGAAAGGATGGAAGATACTTTGCCTGCTGAAATAGAGCAGCTGCAGTTCTTATTCTCTTTACTAATATAGTTATCAAATTGCCATTGGGCCTGTAAGCCTCCTCAGTTGCCTGTTTTCATTATGGCATAGTAACTTCACATTTACGTTTTCATTAAAAGTATTAACTATATGTTGTTATACGTTTTTGTTATATACTTCTTTCTCTTTCTCTCTGTGTGTGTTTGCATGTGCATATATTACTGGGGATTGAACCCAGGGCTTTTGCACTGATCAACATATGCAGTTGTGGTCCTTCCACCCCCTTTACTTTGAGACAGGGTCTTGCTGAGTTGCCCAGGCTGGGCTCAAACTTCAAATCCTCCTGCCTCAAACTTTGAGTGCTTAGAAAACAGATATACACTACCATGCCTAGCTGCTGAGTACCTTCTTTTAGGGTTTCTGATTAAGGTATATAAATCTGCCTTATCAATCTTGGATATACCAGGATTGTCATTTTTTCTGCCTGAAAAGTACTCTATTTTGATTTTGTGTTTATTTTCTCTTTCTCCCTTACTTTTTTATTTGTAATTTTCTTATGTGTACAGGACTTTTTTTTCCTTCTCCAGTACTGGGGATTGAACCCAGGGTCTTCACACTTAGTTACAACCCTAGCCTTAAAAAAATTTTTGTTTTGTGGCAGGTCTTGCTACGTAGTTCAGGTTGGCCCTGAACTTGCTGTGTAACCCAGGCTGACTTCGGACTTATGTTCCTCCTGCCTTATCCTTGAGTGCTGGAATTACAGGTGTGAGCAGGGATTTTTTAAAAAGTAGTTCTGGTCATTGAACCCAGGGCCTCTTTCATGTTAAACGCATGCTTTACTGCTTAACCACATCCCTAGCCCTTAGAAAGAAGTTTTTAGATTTAAAAACTCCTGTACAGAATATCTGAAACTCTTCATCTGGTTAAGCATGATTGATTGATTGACTGAGCTCAGGACCTTGCGCTTGCAAGGTAGGCACAGTACCACTGAGCTAAATCCCTGGCCCTGGTTAAACATAACTTTGAACATCTGTTAAGTGTACCAGTATACTTTAATAGAAATCTAGATGAAGATAGTAATCAATTTTCAGAATCGTTTCAGGAAGACAAAATTATAAGTGAAGATTCTGTGTGGGGTATAGGTCATGGGTAATTAAATCCTACTGATTGTTTTTTCTAAAGACTTCTTGATTACATTCTTTTTTGTTTCTTTTGATACTGAGAATCGAACTCAGGTCCTTGCCCTTGCGAGACAGGATGCAGTGCCATTGAGTTAAATCCCCATCCCTACATTCTGTTTTCTTTCTCCTCTTGCCTGCACTTTGATATAGGAGGCTAAGGTCAAGAATATGGACATTGGCATCCATCAGTCTTAGGTTCGTGTCTAGGCCTTGTCACACTTTTATGTGTGCTTACTTTTAAAAAATGACTTAATCTTTCTAAACTTCAGTTTTCTCTTTTGTAAAATGGGGCAATAGTGGTGGTCACTCTTAAAAATGGAGCAGATCAATTGATAGTGGATTTAGACATAGCATAGGTTAAGCTAAGTTGATGTAGATTGTTACTCCTGCTACTGCTCTTTAGTTGTATTATTGCTGATCCATCGCATTCTGTTTACATTATTATAGTAATATCCTAATTATCACAGCAGTGTCTTCTGTCTCCCAATCTGTTCTTTTTAATCTGTCTTCCACATTGCCACCAGTTAGTTATTGGTTGATTTTCATTATCTCTCAGTTCTCTCTGATCTTCTGGGTAAAGGTCAGACACCTTGTCATAGTTTACATGGCTCTTTTCTGGCTTACTTACTAGTGTTTCAAATCCATGCATTCATCCTCTTTATTTCTTCTGTTGTGGCCACTTAGGGCATCTGCTTGTTTGTGTACTCTGTATTTGTGATTTTATTTTTGCTCTTCCCTTTGTCTTTTGATACCCTTCCTCCCACTTTTTCACCTGGCAACTTAAGTTACCACTACCTCTGGAAGTTAATTGTTCTTTGTGATCTCAAAGGAATTTGATTTTGCATATACTTCTGGCTTTGAATTTAGAAGCTAAGTCTTACCCAGTTTGTATCTTTGTACCCTTTGTTTGGGATGGTAGAATTACCCAATGAATATTACTGGATATATTTAAATTTACCTGCTTTGTTCTTGGTGAGATATTTTATAAATTCTCATTGTAGGTGACTGTAGGATAATCTGTTGAGCTTGTATTACACTTTGATTCATGTAGACACTTTTAAATATACTGTGCTATTTGAGGTAGAGTATATCTCTATTTATATACAAAATGTAAATGCGGAGATTGAAGTTGTTTAAGGATTAACAGATTATTTTAAAAGAAACAATGTGCCCTTCTATTCATTTCATTGCCATATAGTTGTGAATAGATTATTGTATTATCTGCTAAAACATGAGGTTAGCTCTCCCTGTTCCACTGCCTTAAGAGCTTTAATTCTTAGTGTTTGCTATGGCTCAAATAGACCTTAGAGTTTGATACATTTTATGAAATAAGGTGGCCATAGCATGTGTTACCAAATATTACTACATAGTTCAACTTTGTGGAAACAATGATTTTTTTTTCCTCTCTTACCGTACAGAGCAAATGAGGTTCTAAAATTTTTCTTTGGTTTCATGCAATGGAAAAAGCTATACATTCTCTTTGTGGAAAAATACAGTACTGTACCTTATGTACTGTTACAGCTGTCTATGAGTATCTTGTATTGGTTTTTCTTTTTTTTTGGTATGCGGATCGAACTCAGATCCTTGCGCTTGCGAGGCAAAAGCAGAGACAGGGTTTGACTTTGTAGTTCAGGCTGGCCTTAAACTCGGTGTGTGGTCCAGGCTGGCCTCAGATGCATAGCAGTCCCCTTGACTCAGGCTCTTGAATGCTAAGATAAAGGCATTCACTTCCACACCTGTCAGAATAATTGTTTTATGCTGCCCATGAACTCAATAAGCATGTAAAATATACCTCAAATAAATAAGGTTATTGTTCATCTTTTAAAAATTCTTAAGGCCAGGCCTTTCCTATACATGCTATATTGGTTATATACATAAATTTGATTACATTAATAGAAATATTTGAAACTGACATTCAGTTGAGCAGGAACACCTCCAAGTTATCTTTTTATTTTCTCTTTATTTTTTAGTGCTGCAAATTGAACCCATTTTAGTATGCTCTACTACTGAGCTACATACACAGCCCCTTCCCAATTTCAAACATGTTACATTGAGGCAAATTGGTAAGTTGACTTCTAAATTGATTAAGCATAAGCAAGCAACTGTTTGTGGGTACAGAAATGAGCAAAGCCAAGCTCTGTCTTTTGCAGATTACACTCTACAGAGTGCTTTAAACTAGGTCCAACATTTTTACCTTCATTTAAGCTGTAACAGTCCTGAAAATCTATGAAAGCTCTATTCACATGAATGTATCCTTCAGCATTCCATTTCAGTAAAATTAGAATATATGTGTATATATGTATGTAAACAGTATGTACTATATATTTTAAAATTTAGTGACAATAACAAAAGTTGACTCCCAGAATCCATTCAAAGCATTTGAAGATAAGGAAATTCCAGCTGAAGAAGCTTTTCTGTTTGTCTGCTTTCTGCATCTTTGAGGAGCACATGCTTTTCACTGAGGAGCATAGCAATAAAAAAATAGTATATGATAAAAAAGTTAAGATCTGTATTTTTAGAAATTTTTTTGGTACCGGGTATTGAACTCGGGTCCTTGTGCTTGCGAGGCAGGTGGGGGAACCACTGAGCTACATCCCTGGCCTAAGATCCTTATTTCTATTTTTGAATCCTAAGTTTTGATTTTTTAGTAGTAAAGTTGTGTGAGCTATAGTAATCAAGAACACTGTAGTTCAAACAAAAGTAAAATTATTTAATATTACTAATTTGCAAAATATTGCTTATAAATAAAGTTGCACATAAAATTAAATCTATTATCAGTTCAGAAGTATGAAAAGCTATTTAAAAGCACAGGAATTTTCACTTCAAATCCTTACAAAGTGTAA